GTGATATAATTGATCCGGGTAATTGTAGATATGAAGAATTGTTAATAATGATATTGGCTCCATTTAAACATCAGATTTTACAAGGCTGAATCATCTTTGCTTACATTTATGTATTTTGCTAACATGTCAGTAATATTGCCATTTAAACCATTTCCTTGCCCCACTGACTAAAGTTTGTGTGTAAGAAAGGCTCCTCCATAAATTGTAAGTTCTGCATTTCTAATATCTTCAGTGCTTAATGATCCTAGAGTGGAACAGGCCCTCCAGCATAAATGAAAACAAAGGAGATGCTCAAAATTAAGACAGATGACTGGAAGACAAAATTCATAATTAAAGTAAATGATGTGTATGGTCTGAATTCCATGTCTAATATTCAATTCTATTAAAAAAAATATGCTTGATATAACAGTTAATATTACTAACCATGATAACAGAGAGTGGACTGCCTGTGAACGTTTAGCTTTTGCACACAGACTTGAAAGGCCCAGTGACCCAAAGGAACCAATGAATAGCGTGGGGTATATAGTGGCAAAGACCCTTCATCTCCTAATCGGGGTTCATATTAGGGAGACAATCATGATTTTTGTCCCCATTTTAAAAAATGCGTTCCCAACCCTAAGGCTACATGATAGTCTACCTGGGAATCCAAGACACTGAGCACTGCAACTTACAGCTCCTAGTGGCTGGCAATCAAAATACAATGAGCATACTCAAGTCACCCCTCCCCATCACAAGGAAAGCAAGGTTGGCTCATCCTTCAATCACCATAGAAATTGAACATTCCCCTCCATTGCCTTGGCTGTAGTGCACATATATCCCTATCTTTATAGTTATTGACACATATGTATCCCTTTACGCCATGGCAACAGTGCCATGACAGATCCCTCTTACATCATAGTATTGTCTCCATGGCAATAGACTTGTAATAGCCCTGCATCAATGTAGCAATAGGGCTAATATTTACAATACTATTGCAACAGGTGTTCCTTTGTGTGCCTGTTCCTTATAGTTTTCTCAGCTACTCAGTTGCTTCCAAAAGACTTACATCTTGGAAACATGAACCTACTCACCCATCCTTTATATAGCTGCCTTAAAGGCAGATATAAAAGGCACAAATCAATGCAGCGCTATAATCATTAATACATCATTAAATATATTTTCTACAATTTAATTAGTGTACCTGAATTTGACTAAGTATCAGTGTGCTGCTACTGATTTCAATGTCCATCACAGGGTGGGTAGGAGACCCGTAAGTAGAAATTAAATGGCAGCAGAGAAAGATCAGGTCCCCTCCTCTGCTAGGCAGGGCTGTGCTGTGTGGTACAGCAGTGTAAATCTTAGGAGTGGATGGTGAGAAATACAAATCCTTGGCAGGTAAAACAGCTCCAATTTATTTCACCAGTGTATTTAACTGCTTTCTCTGACAATCAGACTGAGAAACATGCTTAATATCTTAGAGGCTTGCAAAGATATTTAAGTAAGGCCAGTACTAGAAATCTAAAAGAAGTGAAGGAAGTCAAATAGGTTGTATCTGAATTCAGTTTGAAACACATTTCAGATGCATTCAAATTGACTCGTCTGGAGGAATGAAAGCAAGGCTTAGCAATACAGGGCACAAGCTCCAATAAATGCAAGTGAGTATTATCAAACAATTCAAAGTTTTAACATGATCACAACATCATGAAAAGTTCGTATGTGACCATTTTTTTTTTATTGAATCCAGCTAAAATCAAAAGGTGATTTTCAAAACCTTAGATCAATCAAATCTCCCCAACTCTGAATATCACCTGTTACAATTCAGTTGTATAACCTGTTAAAACTTTGAATTATTTGATAATACTCACTTGCTTTTGCCCTGTATTGCTAAGCCTTGCTTTTATTCCTCCATACGAGTCAATTTGAATGCATCTGAAATGTGTTCCAAACTGAATTCAGATACAACCTATTTTACTTCCTTCACCTCTTTTAGATTGCTAGTCCTGGCCCTACTTTATTCTCTCTTGGTCTCTCTTGGAGTACCATTAAAAAGATATATTTTTACCCATTGACATCAGGACCAATCTGCAATGTATATATACATATACTGTATTTATGATAAAAATGTATTGCTTGTATTTTCCAGGGCAGGAACTAGTAGTTTAGTCTTCATTTTAGTTATACAAGATTCAAGATAAATACAGATGAATAGATCTCCTATGGTCCACTTCATTTAATTATTACTGTGTTGTTAGTGCTGAACCAGAGTGTTGTTTTATCTGCTAATCTGTTCTCAAATCCTACTCCTGTTTTAGACAAAAATAAATAAAATAATTGAAATTTGTGGTTCAAACATGGATTTAAATTAATATTACTACTTTGAATATACTTTAGATATTTAGTTCTATTTTAGATTATCACATTGATTAAATCAGCCATCACTTAAAGGATAACTGTACTCTCAGAGAAGGTATAGTTATTATTTTGGCCTAGCTCCGACTTAAAGCAAACCCCTTCACTTGTCCAAGGTACAAATTTACCAGAAACGGGCAGCCACTGGAACTGTATAACCTTTTAAACCTCTGGATGAAATATTCTTTCTTCTGGCCATACCTGTGTAGTCAACCACAATTGCATTTTGTGGAGCCATCTTCTTATACAGTAGATTGTCAGTATTCAGCCCCATAGAAGTCTATAGACATAAAAAGTACAGGCACGGCCAGGAAAAAACAATATTTTGGCAAGAGGCTCTGGGGCTGGGGGGTTCAGTCACTTTGGTTCATGGGAGTAGGCCAAAAGGAAGTTGGCCCACACTTTCTCTGAAATTATAATATATGTAGTCTACCATTGCAGACATACCAGGAAAAATACTACTTCTCCAGCAGACGAGTGTCATCAGCTTAAGGAACTAACATTCTTTAGGGGACAGGGTCAGATTGAAGGTGAGTATTGCAGTGCAAGCATTTTTTTAAATGAGGTAACTGAAGTTACAGCATATGTAAACTCAAAAAAAAAATATAACATACTGCAGCTCCACAGCCCTTAGATATGGTGGCTGCATTAGTTCTCTTTTTTTTAGGGCTCGCCTGCAATCCTGCAAAAACCACCTCATGTTCCTCGGTGAATATGCTCACTAACTTTGCTGTATCTACGACTGGTGCAATGGTTGTCACCCAAGCTGAACTTGAAAAAAATGTCTTCCTATCTTCATTTTCATTAAGTGGATGTGTGTGGGAGGATTCATAGTTTACAGAAAAAAGATGTTCAACTCATAGAAAGTGTGAAGGACATTGCATTTCTGGCAAGGTCAACAGGTATTATCTGTACTTAGCCTGAATAAAAGAAAACGAATGCAGTCACCACATCTAAGGACCAGTAATCTGCAATATATAATATATTCTAAGGTGGTTTGGATATTCTTTAACTTCTGCTCTTGAACTAGGCACACAATCAGTGGCGTAACAACCGGGGGGGCAGCAGGGGCGCAGGCCACGGGCGAAAAGTGAAGTTGGGGCGCCGGCCGAAAATGGCACTTTCGGCTAAATGCCGAAAGTGACATTTTCCTGCCGTTTTGTCGGCACTAAACACTGTTGGAGCAATTTAAATGTATTAATAAAATTATAATTAATACCTAATATAAATGAAAAATATTGTTATATTAAAGTAATTATGTAAGGTAAGATATCAGTCTGCCCAGGTGATAGCTTACTACTGTGTATGTTTGGAATCCCTCTTTGTATTCATCGTGTATTATATGATTATCCACGTGAAAACAGAATAACCTCTTCTAACTAGGACAACAAGCTATTTTTTCATCAGAAGAGCAAAAGAGACTCCCTGAGCCAACAGCATAGAACATTGCATGCTGCACATCACCAACCTCTAAAATTTCTACTAGGACTAAATGGCAATAATATACCCATCGCTCTTTCCACATGCATTCTGTTTCCTTAAAGCTGGCCATACACCTATAGCTTACCTGCAGATTTTCTATGGTCAGATGGAAAAAGTGCAAAAGATTCCTCCATCTACGCTAAACTGTGTGGATGGAGGAATCTCCCACTGTGCCAAGCTTCAGTATCTTGCTAGTCAGCCCTGCTGGCTCTCAAAATACCTGAACAATGCCTGCATCCAATCAGATTGTTCAGGTATTTTGACAGCCAGCGGGGCCAACTAGCAAGATACTGAAGCTTGGCCCAGTGGGAGATTCCTCCATCCACACAGTTTAGCATAGATGGAGGAGTCTGTTGCACTTTTTCCATCTGACCATAGAAAACCTGCAGATAAGCTATAGGTGTATGGCCAGCTTAAGAATCAAACTGCTACAACCACTGATAATATGGCATTACTAAGCATTATAAAAAGCAATAGATTTTAACCTATTTGGAAAGGATGCTATCTTGTTGATATAAAGCACATATAGCTTATTCTGAATAAAGGTAGCCCTGGAGATCTGGGGAGTGTAATTGGAGACGATAAGGAGAATGGTGGTTACTGGCAAGACTTCACGGCACAATTGTTTTGAAGACTAACAGGGTTATTCACAAAAGGGTGAAGAGTTTGGAGAAGACAGGCGAAGTGAACAATCCAGGCCAAAACAGCTTATTTAGAAAAATTAAAGGTTTTGGTTGATTGTTTGATCATTTTAAATGAACCCTTTATTTGGAGCAGTATCAAGTGATCACTGTCTCAAATAAACCAAACACAACATGTATGCACACTGCTTGCACTGTTTCAAGCACTGTTTCCATATTATCTGTCACCATCATTTGAGTCATTTCCAAATAGTATGCCACTGTATGAGATACAATTCAAAATTTAAATCCTTAAGAAATATTTCACAAACCCATGTCAGAAGCAAATATCTGTGTAAATTTCGACCGTTAAAGAGTTTTATATTTTATTGTTTTTATCCACTCTATAACAATGTGATTTTGGTTTAGATGTAACTGATTTGTTACATGTACTCTCTTTGTTATGTAACAGTTTGATTGCTAGATAAACTTGTTAAATATATACTGTACTTGTCTGTCTTGTTCAGCTGCTTGCGGCACGGCACAGAGTCTCTAATGCAGGTTCCGGTCGCAGGATCCACGCCTTCAACAATTACAAATGGTCGCTCTTCTAGCGTCGCCACAGTTAAATGCTGATCATCATCCACAGGCTGCAAGAACTTTCCATAACGAGACCACACTGGATATTTCATCCTCAGTTCACCATGTTCCCAGATTCCAACCTAGGCCCATAAAAACACACATTTTATTGATTCTTTTACTTTGATTACATTTTTTTTACATTTTTAATCAGCAAATCTGGAACCTGTTGCTAGAGTCAGGGGGTATAAAATGGGATCTGCACATTAACTTTCTATGCAAATAATTACTTTCTCAGAGTCAGTGTATAAGCATAGTCCCTACCCTACCACACACTGCACAGGCCTGGCGATATATTGTTTGGGCATCCAACATTGCACTGTGGCATATGGTGCTGTGGACAACCACCAAGCTGTAGGGAAGTGCAGGGCATAAGCAGTGACTGAAAACTAAAGTAGTGGTATGTGCAGGTCTCGTTTTATGCTGTTGTCTGTTTATTGGAAAAAAATCTTCATGTGTGCCCACAAGGAGAATTTACTGTTTGGAATCCCGAGTAGCAGGCAAGCTCTGGACAAACTTAATTTTTTTAATAGGCCCTTTGAAGAATATTTTTTCTTCAAAAAAGTCTTATTAACAATGCTGACAGAAGTAAATAGCTTTTCATTTTTCTTATTTTACTATTTTACTTTCCAATTCTATTGTATTTGGACAGGAGACAACTCATAAATTAAAGGAAAGGCAGAAATGATGAATGCTACCCTCAGAATGCAAAGTCAATATGCGATATTCTACAGAGAAGTCCTTTCAAAAGGTCTTATTTCTCTTGGTTCTTGGAGTGTTCGGTCACGTCCACTAACGTCGCAGTCAGTTTTAAAGATGTTAATGCATATACTGTACACACAATGCTCTCCCTTAGGGCAGTACAAGGTGATGCACCTGGATCAGTGCTGTAGGAACAGATGTTGCTAAGGTCCCGGTCTTGACAAGTACCAAACTCTTGGTGGTTTAAAGTGCTACTCTTCCACCAAGAGCATCAATACCACTGACGTGCAGTATCTTTGGTTCCAGGTGAGGCATTCCCCAGCCTCACCCCCAGGCCATCAGAGCCCCGCCCCAACCCGGTCCCCAAGCAGGTGTAAAGAAGGGAGGGAGGAGCCTGTCCCTCACTTGCTCGTCGCTGCTGAGGCATTGAGATCGATTGCCTCAGTGTTTTTTTTCTTTTTTTGATTGGACAGCTTGGACCAATGGCGCTTTGCAATTGGTCCAAACCATTCACAGAGCTCACGCCTCTAACACAGAGTAGAGGCTGTGACAGCTCTTGCCTCACTAATTAGGTTACACAGCAGTGGGGAAGCCTTCTGCTGTGTAACCTAACTACCTGTCAAAATATTATATATTATATTTTTAAAAGAATGTTCATACAATTGTTGCAGGCTTCTAAACAGACTGTGCAGTTGCACATGGGCCCTTTGGGTATTAGGGATCCAATAAACTAGATCGGGGTAGATGGGTGCTAGGAACCATTATCATACAGACCTGGACATTGATAACTTACATCTAGCTGCTAATAAATACATAGAAAATATGTATTTTTACTTGGCCAGTAGTTGATTTGGCAGCCCCAGTACTGGTCTTGCAGAGGGGCCCATTGGTGTCTGTCACTTGTTTTGAAGTTAATTTTAACAGTGCCTTGGTAAACTGGCTTGGGAATGAGAATATGAACTTGCATTTGGAAAGATTGCTTTCCTCTCCACAGAGTGGATTCCTCTGGTGTGACTATGGCTGGAGGGGTGTGGGGTCTTTTCTGATAGGATATGAAGGAATGATGCATGCCAACCATAAATTAAAATAGTGTGAACTTTACAGATGAAATTATTTATTTTTGGATTGTTTATTGAGTGTAGCTTACTACAGCGTCTGTTGTGTTTTTGAATAAATATGGCTTCGGGCCCAGGAATCTTGCTGGCAATTATTGTAGATGAGTGGACTGGCATTTATGTCTACTAGAATGACTCTTGCACTCTGTCTGACTGTTATCCAACTTCTTAATAGTAATGGATGAGTAGGTCAGCAAATATAATGGTGCTAACTGTGAAAATGGTCGGTTTTGTACATTTCATGTGGTATATATCATATTAAATGGCATTAATCAATTTTAGCAGAGGTGGGTGGGAAGTCAGTTTAATACATTTTTTTCACTGGCAGATTGATCAGTACTTTCAGGAGGTCTCTGGGTATCCTGTACTTAATCTAAGGACACTCTAAGGACTAATTTCTCTTCATGTAGAATCCTTTCCTTATAGTGTATATGAAGCCATAAAAAATGTGTTTTGTTTAGGATAGCGCAGGGAAGGATTAGAAGACCTGTCAAGTTTTTATGGCTATCTGTGTGGGTATTCACCCCTCTATTTATCCTGTTGACCATTGTCACTGAGAAAAAAGTGATGAGAAATCCAAATTTTTACAGTTGTCACTAGAACAGTAACAGAGGGGAGATCTTCCATTGGGAACACCTGTTCAGGTGTCAACCCTATAAGAACGTAATTCACCTCACTTTTTAGAACTTTCCTCTCACTTCCTGTTGTGTTTCCAGCAAGTAAAAGGAAATCTCTTAATCAAGACTCAGGCACTGACAGGATATTTAACCCTTCTCTACTCTACCCAAAACTCAATGTTTTGGCCATATATACCGTTTTAAGCTAAACTCTAGGCAGATACAAAAAACACAAATTATTGCATCTCTGTAATCATTAATACATCATTAAATATATTATTTAACCTTCCCTGTAAGTCTACTATGGCTGATTCTTGATTTATCAAGTTAAATAAACTAATATAAACATGTATTGTTTAAATGAAAGCAGTGGAAGTAACTGAATCAGACCTGGTATTAGCCTCTTGCAGTCCCTGTACAGCAAGGCTGGAATGTGAGAGGAAGTAGCAGTACAAGGAGCCAGCTGCTCTTTGCTTTCAGCCACATGCTGGACTGAGGTTGAATATTTCATCAAAGGCTGGTTTTGTTATTTTATAATTTAATGTGTTATTCATTCTTATTTTTTTAGCTGGAATTTTGCTTTGATTATGAGCTGTCACAGCCTCTACTCTGTGTTAGAGGCGTGAGCTCTGTGGATCGCTTGGACCAATTGCAAATGCCTTTTGATCTCGATGCTGCACCAGTGACGAGCAAGTGAGGGACAGGGAGGCTCCTCCCTTCCTCCTCCCCACACAGCTTGGTTACCGAGCTGGAGGCGGGGCTTTGGCTGGATGAGGCAGAGCTTCGACGGACGGGGACTGAGCAACAATGCTACAGTGGTGCCCTGATGAAGGGTCCCTGCGTGGCCCCGAAACGTCGGTTACAATTATTGAAACATGTATGATGATTTGTCGGATTAAATGGATTTTATTGTTTGAATATTTTCCACTGAGTGCTGGTGATTCCTGTTCATTTGTTATTTAAGCCTCAGACATGTAGGGCCTGGTGCTCTGTGCTATTGATATGTGTGGCGTCATCTATGGATGAGCCGAACAGGCCCGAGTTTGTTTCGAATTCAAACTTTAGAACATCCAAAAAGTTCAAACTCAATGCCAGTCGATGGGGTTAAAACTTTCAAAAACAATAACTTATATGCAAGTTATTGCCCATAAAAGGTGTATGGGGATCCGGGTACTGCCCTGGTGGACCGAAATCAATAAAAAAAACTTTAAAAAAATACAATTTTTAAAGGAGCAGTGATTTTAACATCACTTAAATGGCAACAATACCAATGAAAAATTCCATTAAATATGGTGCCTGGGGGGTCCCCTTGAACTGCCTGTAAAGTGGCAAATCTGTACGATTTATAGAACCTGCTGCAGCAAAACTGACATTTTATAATGATATACCGTATATACTCGAGTATAAGCCGTCCCGAATATAAGCCGAGGTACCTAATTTTACAACAAAAAACTGGGAAAAAGTATTGACCCGAATATAAGCCGAGGGTGGGAAATGAGGCAGCTAATGGTAGATAGATACCAATAAAATTACATGAATATTTATTTAAAAGAAAAACAATATTTTTAAAGCATACAGTTCCCCCTCCCAAACAATACTAGACCCTTTAGGCCTGGTAGGAATGTTAGGAGGGACCAAATGTTTTTTTAAAAAGCCATTTGTTTTCTTGCATGTCAGACTTTTTGTTTCTTCAGGATTTGTTGTTTTCGGATGCGTTAGATAATTACAAACACATTTTTGTGACGTTGCTGCAACAAAAATTTGTTTGGAATTATCTAACGCATCCGAAAACAACAAATCCTGAAGAAACAAGAAGTCTGACAGGAAAGAAAACAAATGTTTTGCCAATGCACATGTCTACACTATACTACATATATATATTTTCCACAAAATTAGGCACTTAGCTTAGACAATTAGCTTCTTTATATATGATTTTGTGCTGTGTAGCCTCCCCTCTCAATTCCTTTGTGTGGCGTAGGTTGCTGTGAATATAGAATATATTGCACTTTTGTAGGATAAGTATAGTTCTGTGAAAAAGTTCCCGGTGTCTGTACATATTGAGGTTGCATTCATACTATAAAATTATTTTAAAAAATTGTTTAAGGGTGCAAACGTCAGAAGCTAAAGCACAGCACCTTTACAATGCTATGGTTCAGCCAGCTGCACAAGCTAGATGTTAGGATAAAATTATGACCGCTGAGCAGGAAACTATGTCCCATGAGATGCCCACATCTGATTGGAGAGTATCTTTGGCACTGTGTTTCAATAGCACTGATATCCACTTTCAGGTTGTTGGCAACTCATTAAAGGACTTGCAGTAATTATTATAATGTCATTTTTGCTATTAAATCCTTCAATGCTAAACTCATCAAAAGCTTCTTTCTTCTTTATGTGACATTATTAGACAATTATTATTTTTTTACTAAGGTCCTGACCAACAATGTGGAGATGATTCCATATGTATTGCACAATCTTGTGAAATAAATATTCCTTTGCTTCTTAGAACGTCATGCGGTTAACCTCTGAACCATCAAATGGCTCAGATCAATAAAAATACCATCCAGCAACTACTCAATTCCTGGCCTACTGCAGCTTTTCCCTATTACCTACTAATACAGTCATAAAACAATATTTCAAGACAAATAGCTA